GGCTACAGCTACGACTTCTAGAACTCACTAGGACTCCTATCCGACAGGTCCACAGATCGAACCCCTACCCCTACACCGACCTACGACAGACAACAACCACTGTCAAAACACAGGTCACGGGTTCAAACACTCGGGGTCGACACAGATACTGTACACTGGTAAGGTGAGAACTAGGGATCGAGCCCTGGGGTCTGCATTCGCTACTGCTGACAGGTGAAAACCGTTTCATTTGTTAAGATTTTAGTCTTGATATAGGCAGCCAACTTATGCAGTTAGACTGGTTGAATCAGGCTATTCACCTGTTGGACATGAGGTTTTGTTTTAATTAAGGTAGACCCCGAACACCCGACGCGATGGGGGAGTCGCTTAATGGGGTCTGTGAAGACAAGACTGTCGGAGCAAATACCGTTACAAGGGTTGAAGCCTACCAGAGCTTCCAATTATTTAGCCTGGGCCCAGCTGGATGAGATGGAGAGAGTCATGAAGACAATGACTTGAGAGCATGCGGAGAATTATCTAGCTGCCCGGGCCAAGGCTTGCGCACCAGCTGCCAAACCAGTCAAATGGTCGAGGGGGCGACCACGAAAGGTCCCAAGGCCGTTGGAGAAGGAAACCGCTTCTCAAGGGGTAACAGATGAGGAAGAGGAGGAGGAGGAGGAGGACGGCTTAAACAAAGTTGTTGCTGTCACACCTGCCAAACGTCCAAGGGGCAGACCATGAAAGGGCCCAGTTCAATTGGTGGAGGATGCAACAGTGCACCCATCGACTGCTGATGTATATAACTTATGAAGCTAATGGAGTTCTGAGTTGGTCTCATTCTATTGGCAATGTGCTTGGGAAGAGATGATCTGATTCTCCGACAGGTGATGCACTGCTGTGGCCTTCTTCGGGCTTGGATTTAAGAAGAGGTAAGTCTATCTCCATCCCTGCACCGTTTGGATTTCAGAAGGGGTAAGTAGCTCAAGCTCTTGGGGTTGCTGTCCGCTTTGTTTGTGTGCAGCTGCACTGCAGCGTTAGAAATTAGAATATGGAGTTCTGAGCTGGTCTCATTCTCTTGGCAATGTGCTTGGGAAGAGACGATCTGATTCTCTCACAGGTGATGCACTGCTGTGGCCTTTTTTGGGCTTGGATTTAAGAAGAGGTAAGTATCTCTCCATCCCTACACCATTTGGATTTCAGAAGGGGTGAGTATCTCAAGCGCTTGGGGTTGCTGTCCGCTTTGTTTGTGTGCAGCTGCACTGAAGTGTTAGAAATGGAATACTTTCGAGTAGTTAGTATTAAGTACTGTCAACTTGTTCTATGTTTGTCTATTTGCTTTAATTTAATCCGGACTGTCGGGTCCGGTTCTGTCCAGTGTCTGGAAGATGTCCGGATTGAAGCGGGCAGGTCCGGTTTTCTGTCTGGATGTGTTGGGTGTCGGGGTCCGGGGTAGCCATGCTTTAATGTCTGCTTTCAATTCGGCTCAATTATGTCGGGTATTCTGTGAGATGTCGCAATCTGGTTTCTCACTGTTCTCATTGCTTATTTCCTTGCAATTTGGTTTATCGCTGTTCTCATTGCTTATTTCCTTGCAATTTGGCTTATCGGTGGAAGGGCTTTCTTTATCAAGAGACTTCGGTGTATTGCTCGTTCCTATGTGGTGTGCATTGCGCTTTGATCTCTGCTGAGTCTGCTCTCAATTTGGCTCGATTAAGTCTGCTGTTCTGTGAAATGTCGCAATCTGGTGTGTCACTGTTCTCATGGTCAAGGCGGATGTGTGTTTGAGGATGTGTGGCACTTTTTTCCTTGCCCGAACTCAAAAAAGTGAAGAAGGAAAAGGAAAATGTGATGCGAGGAAAATGAGAAGGAACCTTGAGAAGGCATACTTGCCTCCATAGTCTGCCAGATCTTCGGAGAATGAAATGAAGCACCCACCCACGGACTGCAGTCATTTATTCTACTTTCATTTTCTGAAAAGTTGACTCTACTAGATGATGTATTGCACTCTTCCTTCTTTCTTTCCTCCTCAAAATTCTGCAGCATATGTCACCCAGGAGGTTACTGTATCGAGCCTTGTGCCAAGGAACCACACAGGAAGGGGAGAAAGGGTGGAGGGTGGGGATAGGGATGGGGGGTCATTAAAGTGGGGCCATGGAGTGTTCTTCTTCCGCACCCCACCATAGCTGACTGTCATATTCTGTTCATTGATGTTGAGCGCAGGCAGACTTGAACACCTTTCGCTGATGACTTGAGTGTGCAGGGGATTGAGAAATACACAAAGCTGTTTGGAACAGCAATGGAGGACAATCCAGACTTTTTGCGGAGCATTGTGCACGGCATACTTGAAGGGGAGATCAGGGCTATGTCGGCATCCTTGACAATGGATCAGATCCACAGCGAGTGGTCCATTAATATGGGAAACAAAGCAGCGGAGTGCTTGAAAGAGGACCTTCACAGCATGGGCCTTCACTTATACAGCTGCAACTTCAAAACCCTTCAGGTTCGCTTCGTTAACTAGCCATGGACAAATAACCAATATAAATGAACGGATAAATGAATCAAAAAGAACAAAAAAAGAAGAAAGTTCAGATAATCGAACTATGATACTAACTGGCAAACCAACCACGAGACCAACCAACAAACTGGCTAAAAGCAATGTTCGATCAGCAGGAAAAAAAAAAAGTACGGCCACTAACGTGGCCTAGTCAGCGACTGCAGCCTGAGCGAATTCGGCACCTTGGCCTGGATTCCATTCAATATTATGAATCAAAGTACCCACTGGCATATATGCCTCTTGTACCCAATTTTCCAAAGCTATAAACCAGCAAACAAACCGAACAACAAACCAAGCAGCAATTTGTCTTCTATCAACTGTTTATTTTATGTTATATTCTATGCTACCTGGGGCGGCCTGCCGAGGAGCCACTCAACTTGCCCAGGGTTCTCCTGCCCAGGTCAACCTTGGGATGTCAAAAGTCGGGTCCCCGCCCCCCCCCGCATCAGTGGCGTGTTTGTGCGGCCACCGAAAGCAGCCAAATCATGGATCTTCTTTGTTTTTCATTGTTTTCAGTTGTTGAGGGGGAGGGAAAGTAATAAATGGGGGTTAATGGGGGTTAATGAGATATAAAGGGGTTCGAAGGGGGGTGTGCCTTTATTATATTCTTTCTTTATCTTTGATTCAATAAGGAATTCGGAGGTGGCCGTCAGGAAAAAGTTGATTGCATTGCAACTATACACAACATATTTTTTACCAGATTCTCTTTACTTTTCAAAGACTTTTATCGGATACTTTCCCGGGTGCCAAGGTTTCTCCAGAATGCCCGGAAGCCTGGCCGGGTGCCCAGCTGGGCGGCCCACCAGTCGAGGTCACGGGCGCCCTCAGCGCTGGGCTGAAGCCAACCTTCTTTTGCCCCGGGTGAAGTTTGGGTGGCTGCGCGGATCTGCGCGCTGCCAGTCACTTTCTGAGTTCTTTTTGGGGGACGGCACACCTCCTTTTTGTTTTTTGAAGTTTCCCTTCTGGCTGAAATCTCAGCTGTTGAACCTCATGATTGGCTGTTGGGATTCAGCTCGATAATCTCGGCTGCCGGCTGATATTCGGACAGGGAGCGCATGGGATTTCATCACATGGCTTCGTACTTGTCCTGTTTGAACCAGGGGTTGTCTTCATCGTTGCCAGTGGTCAATGTCTTCGTCGACGACAGTGATCATCCATCACCACTCATCTCCACCTCTATGTCGCCGACCTCCTACCTGATCTCCACAACCACCTCCTCCCTCATCTCCACACCCCCAACTCCAAAACTCCCCAAGCCCACACTGCGTACTTGCAAGAAAAGAAAACAGCCTGGTTTGGAGCTTAACTCGGTGGGCGCAGTACATCCCCACAGGCAAAAAAAAAAAAGACGAAAGGACTCTTTTGTTCATGCAGGCCACCCCAGGTGAGGCCCTGCCCGGGCAAGCCAGGTAATCCAGGATTTTTTTATTTTGTGCTGGGGGGGGCTGCCTGGGACCTTGCCTGGCCTGGCATTCTGGGCAGCCAGATGTAGCCTGGTGCCTGGAATTATACCCTAGGCAAGGTAGCCGACATTCAGGTCTAGCCAAACTGCGGAACCCGAACGGCCAACGTTTGGCCCCCCTTGGAGACATGTCCGTCCAAACCCGAACGCCAAAAAAAAGAAACAAAAAAAACTTTTTTTTCCCCTCTTCCTTTTTTTTTTTTTTTTTTTGCAAAAACAGGGCCTTATGGTCCTGGCTCCATATACATTATGGGGAGCATCAGTCCGGTTCCTTTTCAACCGGCAAGTCATGGTAGTACAACAACATACATGCACACGCTTCCTTCCATCTGCCCGAAGGAACCCTGAACAGCATTGATTGCTCCGTCTTTGTGGAGGATTAACTGTCAGCCTGCCTTTAAACCCAACGTCCTCTCAACTAGGGTATACCCTAGCTGTCTGCTATCCTTAAAGCTCAAGACTTTGCGAGAGGCACAATCCTGTCCACACGCCAACGTCTGTTGTGATGGGTTCTCTCAGTGCTCTCTCTGTTATGATTCTGGTTGCGTGTTGTCTGAAGACCAACACTCACACACATAGACTTCCAGGTATGTGCATACATACACAGAAGGAAGGGGAGAGGATAGAAGTGTCACACCGCACGGGGAGAGATAAACACAGCGGAAGACTTGACCATGCGATATGACAAGGTACATTGAAAGTGCAGTTCACTCCCCTCAATCCTCACAACCAGTCATAAAGGAAAGCCGAGTAGATCGCATCCAGAAAAACAATGAAACGATGATAGTCCAAACCCAGTATCACACGGTTTATTAAACTCAGAGTCTCGAATTGTCAGGAGAACCTCAGAACTACAGTGCGCTGCTCAAAAGTGAGCAGCGCATCACTCCCCAATCCTGTGTAACCACTCGTAACACCCCTGAGCCCCTGAAACAGCAAGCGCCACCCAAGTACTGCCTCCAGAGGACAGCACCACCCTGAAACAGGCCTCTGAGGCCAAGCGCCACTCAGAGGGTGAAGAAGAAGACCAGCGCCACAGTATATGATGATGACGAAGTGTCGGAAGACTTCCCGGGTGGAAGTCTGCAGCAGCGCCACCACTCCTGACAAGATGACCTCTGAGGAAGAAGCTGCAGCTATGGCTGCAGCGCACAACCCTGTGACCCCACGCCGGAGGAGGGTCCAGCAGGGCACCAACTTCTCTTGCCCCCAGCAGACCTCGAATAACCCAGACCTCTGACAGCCCCGCGTGCTGGCAGAGTACAGCGCAGGCCCCAGCTATGGCCGGTGCTCCGAAGGTCTGGCTATGTCTGTCTCCTTCCACGCTGAGCGGTCACCACTTCCGGTTCACGCGTAGCACAACAGCAATGTACTCGGTACCAACTGCCAAAAGCCCTGAACCGATGTGCCCATCCTATCTATAGTCTAAACTTGCCTAGAGTCGACCTAGACCGGACTGACTGACCGACCGATACCATTTGCTGTGTCGGTCTCTAGGGCCTCTCCCTACCCGGCTATAGGCCTTAGAACCGTCTATCAGTTTAGGCCCTTAGGGCCTGTCTGTCCTAGGGGTAGTCCGGGCCTGCTATTTGCAGTTAGGGTAGCTGCAGGAATTCCAGTTAGTATGGGCCTATATTTTCACGAATTTGCAGATATGTCCCTACTGGATTTCCGTACAGGCAGGTCTCTCGGTTAGCCCTCAGCCAAACAAAATTACGAATCTGACCTACAATGGTACAGCCTTGACAAGAGAGAGGCTACAGGCGACCAGAAACTAGCAAGTCATTGCACTCTCTGCTCTCTCTTGCCATTCTCCTTCCATGTCTGTCTTGTTGCTGTCTTCTTTCGTTGTTCCCCTGGTTGCCCTGCTATACCCAGATGGTAGCCGGTATATCTTGTGTCCTGTGAACCTCTCGACCTGTTGCCACGTCTGAGTTATGCCAGTCTTTCCACCTCGGACTCAGCTCATTTAGACCTGCGACTTTGCCGCCTGCCAGCCAATTGTGCTTGAACTTCGCAAGCACCTCCCGTTTTGTCTCCGGATTGTTCTGCAACCAGATTTTGACCTTCTTCCATTGGCATAGAATCTCAGCCTCGATCATACCTTTGGTGGCCGCCCAGACCTTTTCCCGTGGATTCTTGGATCCCCCCAGCGTTCTGCTGCATCTCTTTCCAAATTGCCCATAGTGTGACCTTGTGTATCATTCCAAACCATATCCTTTCAGATTTGCTCAGGTTAGGGGGTATGTTAGTCCAGAGGAGGAGTTGAAGGGGGTGTTCGGGAAGAGGAGACACGAAAAGGCTATCCCAAAGGTCAGATGCCCTCACCAAATATTATATGGTTTCATTGCATCTAATTAAGCAGTGTAGTATGTCTTCTTGTTCCTGATCCGATCAGGCCCTACAGATATCAGAGCAGTTTTGATCGTTTCTGCTTTTTCTGGCGTGCAACCACTGATTGACCAGCAGGGCAGCATATGCTATAAGCCTCTGCATGCTTCTGATTTTGATTGGTTTTATGGTTTTATATTTTTTCCATGGGATCTTAGATATAAGTTCCGATTCAGTGCCAATTAACTTCACCATCGGTAGTTGATTGCTGGTTTCGGGTCCTTTGTCTTCAATAACATCATGGAGCCGAGTTTGACCGTATATTCCAAAATTGGAATTGGTGATTTGCTGGTCTTGTCCCTTTGCGGCTGCCAAGCCCATTCATGTGGGTCGAATTCTAGATCCTGGACCGCTATTCCCATTTCGAAAATTTGTTTTGGCCAGATTCCTAGTACTCTCACCTTGCGAAGTGTAAAAGTCTGGAACGTTGTTGTTTGTGGGTCGGTTTTGTTGGTGGTGGGTTCATCCGGTTTTGTCCACTGGATAGGGAAGATGGGCATCCACCCCATTCTTGATTGTCGATGGGAAAATTGGTATGCTCTCGTTGGGGTGTTCTCCTGGATTAGGATTCCCCATTCCGCTGATTTCCAGTTGAAGTCCTCATTGAGTAGATCTGCCCAGCTATCCGGGATGCTCCTTACGATCATCTGTACGTTTTCATCTCTTTGGTGACAGCCTTTTAGTCTGCGTTTAAGTTCATCTTCGTCCAACCAGTCTCTCCTTCCCTCGTTCCATATATCTCTCACTCTCCAGATCCCATTTTTGATCCACGTTAGCCATTTATTTCCTGTCTGGGACAACGTCCAGGGGTGGTTCCCTTCGTCTTTCACCCATGGGTTTCCAAAGAGCGGTTGTCTCAGTACTTCTTCCTTTGATCTGGGTCTGTTTATCTTTCCTGGCATAATTTCCCTCAAGATTCAGAACAGGGCTGTCCGGTAGGGCAGCGATCCTTGTTCCTGTCTTGGAATTCCTCCTCTCCTCCACCTCCTCCTACCTGTTTTAGGACTCCAATCTTATTCATCACGAAGAATTGTCCTGGAATATTAGGGGGGAATGTTGTTGGCGACAGGCTCCTGATGCTGTCAAGCGCCAGCTTGTTCCATGCCAACGAATGTCTGGTCAGGAGTTTGACTATCCATTTTGTTTGGAGGGCTCTTGTTTCCTGTCTGGGGTCTATTATGCCTAAGCCACCCTGAGCCGGTTGCCTTGTGATGTAGTGCCATGCAATCTTTGGTATGTAGTTCTCTATGTTAGGGTCCCCCGACCATAGATAAGCTCTAGTTTTTCGGCTTAGGTCTTTGATTGTCTGGTCAGGTATGGTCCAGATCGAAGTGATGTACCACATCATTGATAATATAGACGTATTGATGGTTAGTGCCCGGCCCAGTAAAGATGTGAAGGGCTGGCTCCATTTTCCCATTTTGTTTATTTGGCCGGTCAATAGGTTATGTGCCATCTGGGGTGTCGGTCCGTCTTACGTTATTTGAATTCCCAAGTATGTCGTAGGGGATTCAGGTATTTCCCATGTCTCAGGGCCTTGAAGATGGGGGACTGGTTCTTCAGATAGCCACCAACCTATTGGCTTTCTCCAATTTATCTTCATCTCTGAAGCTAGCCTGAAGGCTTCCATTGCTCTGACTAGTGCTGCCATGGAGGAGTTAGAAGTTCGTATTAATACCGTTAAGTCGTCGGCGAACATGATTATTGTGGGAAATGTCATATGATGAGGGGAGCCTACATCATTTCCGGAAGCCTTTGGATAGATGGGTCCTTGCGTAAGAAGGACGCTATCGCCTCCATGACAGGGTGGGGCCAATGGGTCCTCCTGTCATACAGATCTGGAAATCTGGTAGCTTTATGATAAAAGTCCATTGACCTGAACACAACCAGATGCATGGTTATATAAGATTCTTACCCACTTTCTAAAATTTGGGCCCACACCCATTTTTTCCATACTTGCGTTTAGAAAAGTCAAGTTTACCTGGTCATAGGCCTTTTCAAAGTCGAAGAATAGTGTTATGCACCCGATTGAACTTCAATCCACAACGAATTCACACGTTCCCATACACGCATGCAATTGCAGAGTAGACTCGAAGGAGGCAAATCCACACAAAGCCGGGGAGAAGATATGCACAGCTGAAGCCTAAAATACACAGAGAATTGAAAAACGAATTTCAATTCTGCAATCCCTCGTCCTCCTCCAATCAATCCAGAGTACTTGACCCAAGAATCCCAACAACGTTATCAACACCCATGGACCAATTAATTACAAGATTTCATCGAAGTATCTGGGAGTCTTCTTCTTCCCTCTTCCTCAAGCTCTAGCTATGGTGCCTGTGCGCACCCAACCTGAGCCTGCCAATCGCCACACACCCGCAAGAATCCAACACCCCTCTGCACCACTCAGAAAGCCCACTGCAGATGAAGTGTCCACTCGGCAGGGGAGCGCAGCTCCCAGGATGATAAAGAAGAACATCAACTCGATGAAGATAAAGGTCTGCCACGTCGAAGAAGAACCGCTACAAGGGCAGCTTTGGTGGCAACTGACCAAACCCCAACAGACAGCACGCAGGAAGCACCTCACGGGGTCGGGATCTGCACGACCCAGGTAAGCCCTCGTAACACCAGCTATGGCCGCCCACTTCCTTTCGTGGAAGAAGAGAACCGAGCGCTAAATTGGCGCAGCTTCGAGGTCAACCTCCCGTAGCACTTCGTGGGAAAAGAATGACGAAAACAGAACCCAGATCCGTCAGCCCCTGCCTACTTCTACCCGACTTCCCTAGACCTACAACACAACAGCCGTCTACAGACCTATTTGACCGTCCGACAAACAAACATATGTGGCCTAGTATTCAAAACCGTCCTAACTGCATCTAGATGGAGATATGAGCTAAGGGCACCCAAGGCTAAGACACACAAAAGAAAGACCTACGGCCTACTAGCTTCTAGAAAGGTAGAAAAGACAAAACAATGAGGCTGAAAGGCCTAAGATTGCGAAGTAGGGACTACTAGCGACAGGTTCAAGGTTCAAGCCCAACAAACCTCAAAAACAGTCAAACACCACAAACAAAATACAAGTCACGGGATCAAGTCCTGGGAAGCGCAAAACAGGCAGCAGAGAGTTAAATACAAGTCACGGGATCAAGTCCTGGGAAGCGCAAAACAGGCAGCAGAGAATTAGGGGCTCGTTAGATACTCCTCGGACGCGTAAAGTCCCCGAGGAATTGTTCGTTCCACCTATCCTCGGGGATGCAGTCGGAAAAAAAAGTGAAAACACTCCGAAGGAAATTCCTTGGGCTACGAGGATTCCCCAGCCATTTCTTCCTTTTGCCCAAGGGACCTCACGAGGTCACTTGGGCAAAAGGAATCCGCGTTTCACGGAGAGGAGCGGGCACATGGGTAGAGAGACGTTACAATCGAGAATCTGGATCGTGGCGGCACCCTCTTGGCTGAAGGCCTCAAGCACATTTGATTTTTTCTTTTCTTTTCTTTTTTCTTTTCTGACATTGCTCGAAGGAAATGTCCTCGGGCGACATCCCCGAGGACAGGTGGAACGGAGGGCCCAAATTTCCTTTTGAACCAAAAGGAATTTTTCCTTTTGCCCGAGGATTCCAATAGGAGTGTCTAACGAGCCCCTTAGTGTACAGCCCGCTCTTCGCTGCAATTCATTGCAATAGAATCGCTGTACTGATTTTCTTTTCCGTGATTTTCTTTGAGGCCTCATTTAGAGTCATAACGTTGTCTATCTTCCTGGTATAAACCCAACTTGGTCTATGTGAAAGCATTTGTCTGTTAGTTCTAGGATTCTGAAGGCTAGTGCTTTCGCCATAATTTTGTAGGGAAGCGTTTAGTAAGGAGATCGGTCTGTAGTTCCTGATGTCTTCCCGCTCCCCTTTCTTGTAGAGGAGTGTAACGACGCTGGTACTTAGAGGTTCTCCCATACCTTCTTTTTCCCAGCAGTCGTTGTGGAATTGCATAAGGTCCGTTCGTAGCAGAGGCCAGAACTTTTCCCAGAATTCTTTTGTTAATCTGTCCACGTTCGGCGTCTTGTTGTTATTCATGCTTCGGACTGCAAAGAGTAGCTCTTTCATCGTTAAGGGTCTGTCTAACTTTTCTGCCTGTTCATCTGAGAGTGTCTTGTCTGAGTATTGGAGCATCCTAGCTTTGGCTTCCCTGACATGAGTGGGAGTTGAGGCCGGTGTCTTAGATTGATAGAGATCTTTGTAGGAGCTTTTAGCAACCTCCAACATCCCCTCATTGTCTGACTGGATTGTATGTTGGCCTATTTGTTCTTTAAGACCTTCAATTGTGTTGGCCCTATTATTGGCTTTTATTCTAGCAAAACAATGTTTGGAGAACTTTGGACATGTGTTCATTTAGTTCTAGATCTGTCATTCTGGCTCTGATTTGGAGGCCCTTCAGTTCCCATTGAGGCCACATTGTCAGTTCTTCCCGAGATTTTTCAAATACTTTTGTATACATGGGGAAGGAAGGGTCGGTAATTGAGTTACTTTTGGATATCTTGAGGGTTGTTTCAAGCATGTGTTTTCTCTGCTTCTTATCATTTGCCAGTTTTCTTGAAATTCTTGTTGCTGTTTGCGCCAGCGTGATGTAGCTGTCCTGAAACCATTCCCATCGGTCTTGATCAGGTAGGCACCTCCCTTCAAATTTTGCCAGCCTTTGATGATATTGGATGTTCGGTCTACCATGAGACCATACACAAGATCAGCGAACTTCATAAATCAAACAGCGCCATACACATGAGACCAGATAGTCGTGACCTCGAACCAATAGCAGAATTGCATCACGAGTTCCACCAGATAAGAAGACAGCAAAAGCTCATAATTGACAATGCTGAAATAGTCTCATCATCATCAACGAAGAACCAATGTTGATATCCTATTTGGCGCTCGGCGCCCAGACTACGGATGACAGATCCTATCTAGCCTATCTACAATGCCGCTCATGACGTCAACAGCTCCCCGAAGTACGAGCAGATCTCGATCAATGTCGTCGCCTCAAGCACCAAGTATGTCTCTCGTATCACTCACAACCTCGATCCCCAACGCACAGATGCCACATGCACCCAAGGACCACCATGCGCCCCATCCAGCATACAGCAGCGCAGCTTGGCTATGTCTGCCTGCTCCTTCCAGCTGACCCGTGAGCGCGTGAGCGCTGGCCAGCGTTAGCGCAGCATGCAGCCAATGCCCGGATGCCCAATGCGTGGGCAGGCCCTTTCCTAAATGGAAATGGCCTGCCTGCCTTACATGCAGCCTGGCTGCGCTGGGCCCCTGCCCAGAAGCTTCCGGTAGGCCCAGAGAGGTTGAGCCCCAGTCCAAACAGATCAGGCCCAGGGCCTGTGACAGTTACCCGTGCCCAACTGCCCGTAGTCTGAGTTGGGTCCATGCTGCGGATCTCGCCCAGGGCCTGACTCAGATGCATTTGATAAAGGAGGCTAGGGCCTGGGTGCTTTCAACCAGCTGGCGCTACGCAACTGCCTGAATTTTCCCCAGTTGTGAAGTAGTCCAAAATAGGCCTCTTGTCGTCTATCGGGCCTGCCTTCACTTAGGGCGGCCGACGCTTTTGCAGATAGGGGCCCAATACGGCTTTTTGAGGCCTTATGCCTCGCATTCCCTCCTCCATACTTCGCTATTCCTCTGAGAAGTCTAGTCAATCTGGCGCTTTCCTTTCTGCATTAACTTCTCATAGTGGGCGACAACTTGTGGAGCAGTCTGCATCAGTTCCTCCCTTGTAAACCATCTATCCTCCTTAGGATCAGTGTGATGACTGAACCGAACGCGATACTACAGCTTCGGTTTCAGAGGACGTCCCCTGCCAGTAGGTCTTGGAACTGGCATTTCTCTGTGATCCACGATATCATCGATGTCAACTTCTCCATCCATGTTTGGGGGCAGCATAGAGCGCCGAGAGGGAAACTGACCAGTTTCTTTGGACGGTGCAAGCTTAGAAGCGTGAAAAACAGGGTAAGTACGTAAGTGACCAGGGATGCGAATACCATATAATGGTCCATCCGGTTCATCTCCTATAACATCTAGGACCTCCCATGGTCCAAAGTACTATGGCATGAGCTTGCGGAAGATCCAGTGCCCCTGTCCCAGTTCTGAGGACTTGACCCAGACTCTCTCACCTACTTGAAACGTAGACGGGCGGCGGTGTTTATTCTCAGATTCTATCATCGCCGCCTGAGCCTTGTGCATTTGTTCAACAGCCTGCTGCATCAGACGCTCATAATGATAAGCAAATTCTAAGGTTCCTGGTGCAACAGAAGGCTGGTTCTCGGGTAGTAAGAAATCTAGGGGCAGTCTAGGCTTGAAGGTCAATAGCAGGCTGTTCGGGCTGACTCCCATTGCGTTGTGCACAACGTTATTATACAGGCTGGCGATGAGAGCAAGTTTCTCATCCCAGTCTACTTGATTAGGCTTGATGTAGTGCCTCAGCAGGTGTTGTACAACGCGGTTCATCTGCTCTACTTGCCCATTCGCCTCTGGATGGTTCCCTAATGTCATCTTTAGTTGTGTTCCTTGTTCTGCAGCTGCGGCCTTCCACAGTTCACTAGTAAATCGCACATCACGGTTATTGACGATAGATTTTGGCAATCCAAAATCTCTGACCCAATTCTCTTTGAACAATTTAATCACGTACTCAGTCTTAGCTGTTGCCGGCATTGCGACTAACCTAGCGTACTTGCTAAACCTATCCACAATGGCATAGACGTAGCGCATTCCACTCTTGATGGTGACCAGCGTATCCATGAAATCCGTGGACAGACTCTCACCAGGCCTTTCCGGAATCGGAAGGGGCTTGAGAAGCAAAAGAGGAGCCTGTGTACGTGGCTTGTCCATCTGACAGACCTGACAAGTCTCCACATACAGCTTGGCGTCTTTCACCATTGTGGGCCACCAGAACTGCTGCTGCAGTTTATAGCCAAAATGTCCTGTGGCATCGTGACATTCACCTAAAAATAAACTACGCAAAGAATCCCAATTAGGCACGCACAAACGTTTACTCCCGGCCTTCTCAAGGAACAGGAAGTCGTTGACCAGCTCAAACTCGGCAGAATTCACTTTGTCCTTCGCCTCGAGTCTGCGAATGATCTCAGTCATAAACGGGTCCTCGCGATAGGCTTCCACCAAAGAGCGAGTTACATCGTCCGCAAGCCCAAACTCAGTCATCAGCGCACCAGAGAAGTCTGGCCTACGCGACAGCGCATCAGCAACTCGGTTATACTTTCCCTTGATGTATTGGGGTTCGAAGTCATATTGTTCAACGACTTCAATCCATCATTTCAACGCATGAGAGAGTACCGGTTGGGTTCTCATCCACTTTAGGGTATGATGATCAGTCCTGACGTAGAAGAACCTCCCAAGGTGATAATGCCTCCGGTGGGTGAGTGCCTTGTAGATCGCATAGAGCTCCTTCTCATAGGTGGACTTAGCCAACTTATGAGAGGGCATCTTTTTGGACATGTACTTGACTGGCCTCAACTTTGGCCCCTCCTGCTGCGCGAGCACGGCGCCTATGCCATATTGGCTAGCATTTGTGGTTACTATAAACGGCTTGTCAGGATCGGGAAGCTTCAAGACCTCATGGTGTGTCAACGCATGCTTCAAATGTCTGAAAGCAGTCTCACAGCTATCTGTCCACTCCCATGGGGTGTCAAGGCGGGTCAGGTCAGTCAAAGGGGCGGCCACTATGCTGTAGTTCTTAACAAAGTTACGAGAGTAGCTGGTCATCCCTAAGAAAGACCTCATCTCAGTCACAGACTGAGGACGCGGCCAGTCATGAATGCTGGCCACCTTCGCGCCATTGGGTTTTAAACCCTCCGCGGAAATCTCATGACCCAAGTACAAGATCCGGGTGCGACCAAACTCGCATTTCTCCCCGTTGATCTTGAACTTGTGCTGCCGAAGGAGACTGAGGATTTTGTTTGAGTGCGCAACATGCTCCTCGACAGTCCTACTAAAAGTAAGTATGTCATCAAGGTACACCATGACAAACTTATCCAAGTAGTCATGAAAGATCTGATTCATAGTGTGTTGAAAGGTGCCCGGATCATTCGAGAGGCCGAAGGCATCACCACAAACTCGTATAGACCGTACCTGGTCTGAAATGCGGTTTTGTGTCGATCCTCGGGCCGGATTGCAATCTGATGGTACCCGAATTTCAGATCTATCTTACAGAGGTACCGACACCCTTGCACTTTATCTAACAAGTCATCGATGCGCGGTAGGGGCTCTCGGTTCTTGATAGTGATGGCATTGAGCCCCCTATAGTCAAAGCACATCCTCAAAGTTACCCTCTTCTTTGGTACCATGCCCTATCTTTGCCTCAAGGTCTAGGGTCTTCTTGCTGAACGAGGGGAAGCTGTGCATATTATTGTTGGCCTCACCTGCCAACTGATTCCTGAGAGGCATAGGGAAGCATCTGAGGTAGGAGGTGAGTAGAACCTGGGGGTCATAGCGCACCCCAGGGACACAGATCAAACGCTCTACTGCGTTTGTGGCCTCCCTTACTGACTTAAACTGCCTGGTGTGCAAAGTCAGGATCGCATCAGTGGCCTGTTGGGCCTCCTGAGGATCATGCCACCTTTCTTCCACCAGCTTGAGGAAGTCCTCCAGTTTCTGGTTGACTGCCCAAGTGCGAAAGTCGTGACCGTATCCCTGCAACTGCACTCAACCATCTCGCTGCACTCCCCTCTAAATAGGAGGCAGCCACAAGCTTTTCCTCGCCCGGCAAGGTAAATTTACACTTAATGTAGGCTGGCATTGACCTCAACCTTATGTCAAGGTCTTCACCCCTCTTGTCCCCTGTGAAGGTTTTAGGAGCAGCGATGGCCGTCTTTGGAACCCACTGACTTTGTCCCAACACCTGTCCCACTCCAGGCTGTGGACCTTGGGGACCAGGCTGCTGCACTATCTGCTGCTGGGGCTGTGTACCCTGCGGCTGTGCAGGCTGCGAGACAACAGGTTGCCCGCGTACGGCAACCTGCGACGGAGGTTGGGAAAACACTGTTTGTACAGGAACCTGCATACTAGGACCTGTTGAAAACCCTCCTGTTAACGACATACCTAGGGAGCAGGCCTGAACCGATGTTGGAGCAACATATGGGGATACCTGAGTCACCGGTGGGACAAAAGGAGGAGGTTGTACAACGGGCCAGACACCAGGCCCGGATGGTGATGGAGCTGCTTGTGCACGCCCGACCAAAACGGCCAGACTCTGCTGGATGTCCTGTAAGAGAGTCATCTGGTGGTCCTGCATTTCTATTACATCTAGCAGGACGGTCGATAGGGTCCTCACATCATCACCCATATTCGTCGAGTCCATCTCCTCTAACTCGCTAACGTCCACTTGTCTCCGCTGCATCCTGACTCTTCTTCTAATCATCTTTTCTTTTTCTGCCTTAATCTCTCCTAACGCCTGCTGTAGTTGTGCCTCACGAATAGCTGCTCGCTATATGGCGACCTCATCGGGGGTCAGCACTATAGGCTGGCTTGCCATTACGCCAGTGGACTGACTCTGGGTCTGCGCGACCGTTGACCCTACAGATCATGAACTGCTAGCCTATGAACTCTGGTGCGCAGCAGTTGCCATGGCTACTGAAGCAGCAGCTTCACTTGCGAATGCCCTGCTGGCCTCTGCTGCCCTAGCTCTCCGCTGCTGCTGCTGTCTCTCCCTTTGCTGGCGGAACAGGAGTCTGTCGCCCTCCGGTCCTAATGCCAAGTGGGCTATCGGGCGTCTCGCCGATCGCAAGATCCTATCGTCCGGTTGTGGAGCCTCCCTGTCACTCATAGGCTACAACACTGTACGGTGTCTGCACTAGAACACTCTTGATGCCTACCGCAGCATGGTGTACAGACGGATTTAAAGTAAAATAAATAATCGGTAGTTGTGTCAGAGACTAAACAAAAACTAAACATTTGGGTCCAACAGGTAGGTTCAAATTCCTACAAACAAAACCACTTTGACTTTGACTAGTTCGCAAACAGAAAGCACAATGAACAAAGAACAGTTCTAAACTATGCTGTCTGTCAGATGTTAATGGCTGTACATCTAACTAATCAAAATGAAAATAGAATMRTTTGTTGGGTCTRTTTGYAGAATGGAATCTTGCCCAAACTTATCACCTGGAATCTACCCCTCCCTCAGTTCTTCCTGAATGTCTCTTGTCATCAATGTCCCTGAGCAATCCGGAACAGCATGCATGTCTAAAGGTGTGACCACGGCCCACCCCTGTGCCCCGAGTCCTGCTGAGCTGGCCAGCCCTGCACAGTCTTTATCCTCACGTGCAGCGAGCCTTACACCAACCGATTGACTGATCAGGAGGCGTTTTTATGGACGGCCCCCGGAGTCCTCAGGAATTATTTAACGCCGCAAACAGGACGACGATCACGGCCGATGGAAGGTACCCCACCGGTGCTTATTTATAGACGCCCGGTCTCGTCTGTCCCATAGGGCTGGCCTTCCCTTCAGAACCCCTCTACAGCGCAGCGAGCAGACAAATGACAAAGCAGCAAAGCATGCGTGCTCTACTCCCAGTGGGTTGGCATGGTGACCATGACCCAGTGCTTCGTCCAGGGCCCTTCAGATAGCACCGCCCTCTCCTTCCAGATGCTCCAGGCGAAGATTGACGACTCTCAAGGTTGAGCGCACAAGACTCCTCACATGAGAGCACTCACAAGACAAAACACATATCCTCACAGTAAGAAGTGTCAAAGAGGGTAGATAAGGTTAGATGCAACGTACCTCAAAATAGCTGCCCCCAACCACAGATATTCTCACCAGATGACCCGATGTTGATTGTGATGACCAATCGCTGCTTCGGCACAACCAGCATTGCACCACCGTTCCACCTCGGCATTAATCACGCATCGGATAGTTCTCATCACACTGCGAACACCCAATATTCACCACATAGTAGCCTTCCTGGCAAAACCCCTCACCTCCTCGGTCGCCTTACTTGTCTCCACCCTCCTCACAACACACCTCCCCACGGCCGCTCGCCCAGCAGACCGCGTGTATGTACCGCAAAGGCAGAAGACAAGCGCCAGATGAGCGCACCATACCACAGCTCTGATACCAAATTGCAAGGAAAATGAGCAATAGCGAACTTCAGAAATCAAACAGCATCATACACATGAGACCAGATAGTTGTGACCTCGAACCAATAGCAGAATTGCATCACGAGTTCCACCAAATAAGAACACAGCAAAAGCTCATAATTGACAATGCTGGAATAGTCTCATCATCATCAATGAAGAACCAATGTCGATATCCTATCTGGCGCTCGGCACCCAGACTACAGATGGCAGATCCTATCTAGCCTATGTACAATGCCGCTGATGACGTCAACAGCTCCCCGAAGTACGAGCAGATCTCGGTCAATGCCGTCGCGTCAGGCACCAGGTATGTCTCTCGTATCACTCACAACCTCAATCCCCAACACACCATGCGCCCCATCCAGCATACAGCAGCGCAGCTCGGCTATGGCTGCCTGCTCCTTCCAGCTCGCCCGTGAGCGCGTGAGCGCTGGCCAGCGTTAGCGCAGCAGCGCTTGCACAGCATGCAGCCAGTGCCCGAATGCCCAATGCGTGGGCAGGCCCTTTCCTAAATGGAAGTGGCCTGCCTGCCTTGCGTGCAGCCTGGCTGCGCTGGGCCCCTGCCCAGAACTTCCGGTAGGCCCAGAGAGGCTGAGCCCCAGTCCAAACAGATCAGGCCCAGGGCCTGTGACAGTTACCCGTGCCCAACTGCCCGTAGCCTGAGTTGCGTCCATGCTGCGGATCTTGGGCAGGGCCAGACTCAGCTGCATTTGATAAAGGACACCAGGGCCTGGGCACTTTCAACCAACTGGCGCTACACAACTGCCTGAATTTTCCCCAGTTGCGAAGTAGTCCAAAAAAGGCCTCTTGTCGTCTGTCGAGCTTGCCTTCACTTAGGGTGGCCGACGCTTTTGCAGATAGGGGCCCAGTAGGGCTTTTCGAGGCCTTATGCCTCACACCAGCTACTTAAACCACCAGTACTTGGCCCAGCTATCGGCCGTGGAAAAAAATAGAGTAGAAACGTTTCTAGTTGGATGAATTTGGGCGCTCCTGTAGTGGCCCGTACGTTTCCTAAAATTGCGTAGCGTTAACTGGCACGCCTTTAGGAAGTACTGGTGGTTTAATTGATTGAGTGATTGCTTGATCATTGATTGAGTATTTGAAAAAAAAAGAAAAGACTCCTCATGTTAGTGTGTGTGAGACTCTCTCTCTCTCTCTCTCTCTCTCACACACACACACACACGCACACACACGCACACACTACCACACAGACACACACACACATTAAAAAGGTCTAAGGAAAAAGAAAAGAAAAAGGGAAAAGGGAATCGCCATCTTTGGTGATTTTTCATTGTTTTTTGGACGACCCAAATGCCCTGAAAATTGATCAGCATATACCTTACACAATGCAGAACTCACGGGGAAAAAAAAAAAAAAAAAAAGGCCCCAAAATGATTTTTAGTGGGGCCGAACTTTGGGAAGTTCGCCCCCCTCACGTTCGCCCACACACCTGAACGTTCGGGGGAGGTACTCCGAACGTTTGGGCAGTTGACCCTGATCCTAGGTTGAATTGATGACTCTTGAAAACTTTAATTTATTTATCTATTATATTGTATTTATTTATGAGGTCTTAGCTGTTTGGTGCGGACCTCAGTCAATGTCGGTCAAGGCCCAATGTTAAGCCAGGTGGGATGGGGTGCAGCTCACTGCAGGACACCTCGGATTTTCTGCTGTTTTCAAGGACGTATCATGTCAGCTGATCTGCAGAACACATGAATCACAAGTTTGGATTTCGTATTCGGGTAATACAGTCGGTGAAGAAGTTAGCATCACATTATTGTTTTCATATGCTATCTGGTACTATGCAGCTTGATCAAAGAATACATGGCTGGGAGCGCAGTTTTGATAAATGAAGAGGTGGGAGGAGGGAGGAATAAACCTTCGATAAGCTTTCATCATTCCAGACATTGTTCAACGCATTTGATCGGATTGGCCTCGCAATCAGAGTCTCTAAATTCTTATTTCATGCCCTTGACATTTCATGAGCTA